TTTTTGAAAACTACGATGAACAAAAACAAATTTCTAAGCAGAGTACCATCGATACAAACAAACTAGCATTGTCCCAGTAGTTAATTAAAACAAGTTCAATTTTATTCCTAGTATACCCACACCCTAGCATACAACAAAACAAAATCAAGATAAACTATTACTCAGCTAGATGTTGTCTTTTCTCTTTGATTTTAATTTTGATTGCAACACAAAAACAATTCGTTCATGTTAAAAATAAATTTTTTAGAATGAAATCAAGGTTTTATTATTTTTTTAGGTTGAGATGTATATGAGCGTGTGAGTGTGGTCATATATGTGATTATTCTCTCATACCACACCCACACCCATTTGTGTCAGTAGATAACTTCACACGTTTTGAACCCACTTTGATTTCAGTTCGTTTTATTGCGTAGTTACCCAACCATACATAGAGACGATCTCCGTTAATATGATGAGTAAAATCATTCACATTATCTCTGAGCCAATCGACGATCATCGTAAATATAGAATCTGGCGAGTGTATAGATGATACGAATGTAAAACTTGATAAATATTTGAGTCGATCAAAAATCATTTCCAAGTCATCAACATTCATGACTTCACTTGTTAAATATTCTATATGTTCAGGTAGAAACAGATAAATTTTGCGAACATCTGTCATTGAACAAATACGTGATCGTCTATAGTAAATGGAAAGTGAGTGAAGATTACGTGTTCGTTCAAGTAAGGTAATAATGTTTGTGATAGTACTCTGGACGGAGCATGGATAACAATGAACAACGAGAGAAAGTTCAACGAGACGTGTTGGATCAACACTTTTTGGAAATAGATCAAACAATTCAGGTAGATTTTGTCCATCAATGTTCAGTGTAAGCTCAGTTACATTTTCGAACCAATCATGATTTAATGAACCATCCTATAAGTATGTGCAAACATCTCTTAAGTATAATAAAATCATGTCTAACATTGATTGATGGTATGAGAAATAGGGATTATTGTACTGATTAGTAACTATTTGCAAGACGTTCATTTTATGTCCGGATGTGACATTCTTTCTTTTTTTTGACTCAAGCAATCAGTACATTTATGTATGTTTTAACTAACTGGTTGTTCTCGTTCAATGCAAGTACATGTGAATATACTTAGTGTATCAATCCATTCTGTACACTGCGATACAAACAAATCAAAAGATAGAAATACGATACTACGAAAAAACTGCCAACTAATTTAACAGTTTCATAAGAGTGCATTTGATACATCCATATGTTTTCCTACAAGGTATTCCTGATTTTTGAAGATTAGTGACGAAATAGAAATATTTAGTACTTAGATATACCTTCTGTACCGTTGTAGTCGTTACTGATGTATTGGAAAGTAAATGTAGATCAGTATCGAAATTTGTAATTGTGAGCGAAACACCTGCACGTTGTTTTCGGTACTTAATTAGGCATGTAAATGAAGTGAGACACATTGGTGTCGAATATACGATAATCGTATGCATTTTTGGATCATGAGTGCTAACAACGTTCCACCGTTTCATTTCGATCCAGAATGGTGTTTGATATCGGCTCATAAGTAAACTATGATCAACATAATTATAATCACCGACATCGTATCCTGAGAAAAAGAATTCGAACTTATTCAAGTGAGGTAAATATGTCTTAATAGTATTTTCCCATTCAGAACCATCAAATAGAGATCTTTTACATACTGTAACAACTACTTTGAAATATTCAAGTGAGGGTGTAAGTGTCAAAACTGTTTTAAGTTCATCCAAAGATTTCCAGATACCAGCATCATTCAATGACAATGAGATTAATTGTGGATATGATTTTAATACAGGTTCACCGATGTTGTGAGAAATTCTCATTTGCACCACAAAAGTTCGAAGGACAGGTGAATAATCAAGAATAGTACAAAACTGTTCAAAAGTGCAATTATTTAATGCGAGATAGTGTAATGTACAATTCATGGGCCATTGTATTTTTTTCATGACGTCAATATAAATATCAGATAAGTCGAGCCGATGAAGATTAGATTGTGAAATAATTGACGAGAGATGAAACATGGTTTCCGTGTTTACGATTTCTCGAAATTTGATCGATAGTGATATGAGCGAACAGAAACTGAGAGTATGAAGCAAAAATATCTGTAAATCGTTGTTGCCAATATCAAGAAGGGCCAGAGAACGAAGTCTAGTCCATCGATTAATATCGATGAGTGCGAGGAATAGACCAATTTGACCTGGAGTCCTGTCACCATCGGAAATAGTACGTGAGATAACATCTTCAGGTTGAATAACACGACAGATGAGACGAAAACTAGTCTTTGAAACTGAACTAAAATCCAGCTTGTATCTATCATAAGTGTTAGTAATTGCCTGAAACTTTTTCGCGAGATAGCGAAATGAGAAAAGAATCGTTTTACTATCAACATAATCGAGAATTCGATCGAGGATCTCCACTGGTAGCAAGTCAAAAGTCAGTTGTTCGTTATTTACAATCGGTGCCATGTGCGCGTCAAATGCGTGTTTAACCTCTCTTACCTTTTTCCTTTCCTATAATTTCTATCGATTAAAAATCAATTAATTTGAAGAGAGTAGTAAATATTTCTATCATTGATCATATCGTGGAGAAAATAACAAGTCTTTTGGATTGGAGACCTCCTTCAACGAAAGAAAATAACGTGTATTTCAGTTTGTTCGTTTAAGGCCAAAATCACCCTAACGCTTTTATACAATCAATGATTAAATAACAGAATATTATTCGGTCACTTTTTTGAAAATGATGTTGTTTATTTTAGTTCTCAATCTGTGTGATCTGTAAATAACAAAAGTATGTCTTTGTAAGATAAAGTGCAAATTTTCATTATTTTATTCTGGTTTATATATTTCTAATTGATATAGTTCTTCCTATTTATATTTTCACAATATCGTATTGACTGTTTATAATTTATCACTATGTAACAATTCGAAGAACAAAAACTCCATTCATTATGTTTGTTTTTCATAAATAAGCAATTATGCACATGATACTTTTTTCTCTCTCTCTCTCTCGCGTAGGAATACACATAAAATGAATGCAATGAAAAATTAAACAAATATCAAAATTAGATTGACAGCTATGTAAAAGTAAAGTTGTTTTGAATGTGTATCGTTAAGCATTCGAAATGCATATTTTCAATATAAAGAAAAACATGTGCAATAACGAAATATGCAAAAAAAACACTTAAGAGAAATTGATACTACCAAATCATTGTATACTAAGGTAAAGTATATTCATGGTTGATTACTCTAGTATCTACTTTTAAAAATCTATGAAACGATGATACAATGGAGCATGCCTATGAAAAGGTAGTTATACCTTTATAAAGTACACCCGAAAAATTTATTCTTTAGAGACTTTTCAGATCTTATTGAGGTTTGTCCTATAAAAAGAGTTTGAACATGAAAATGATTTATTATTTTGCCTACTTTACTCGGGCAATGTGACAATAACGGATGTTTACTCTCAAACATACATCAGATGGATATTATACTGTCGTTCATTATTTTTTTATCTATTAAAATCTAAACCGTTTCGAATTACTCATTTACTACGACACGCAACAACAACAACTGGATCGATATCTTATTTATCAACTATCTCGTTTACACAGTTATTTAAATATGTATATTTTATTTTCATTTTTCATCGTATGCCTCAACCCTCTCTTATTCACGTACGAATAACGAAGTGTGTAATACAATCTAACGCAACGAAGCATAGAAAGAGGAAAAAAAAAGGATTTCGATGCATATTTGTCATCGTTTCTCTTTCTACTCAAATATTAATATTAGATCAATGTTTAATGAGTAGGATAATTTTTTTCTTACTCATCTCTCTCTTATTATTCATTCAACGCAATCATAAACGATACGGCGTACCTATATACTACCTGAATGTATTGATACATACATTATTATTCTTGTTTTTTTTAGAAAAAAACGAAAAACATAGTAAACATAATTAACTATGGCGTCAAATGATGATTCGCAAGATGAATTTATAGCTGATTTTGAAAAGAAATTTGGCAAAGACAAAAAGATTACCGCTGAACAAGCATGGAAATTAGCAAAAAAATATCAAAAAAAAAAGAAGGAAAGTGAAGATAAGGATGGTGGACAAAACAAAGACTCGGATGGTGACGATGACAAACCAAAAAAGGACAAGGAGCGAAAGAAGGATAAGAATCGTGATAGTGATGATGATGATGACCACCGGAAAAAGGACAAGGAGCGAAAGAAGGATAA